GGGCGGGAGCAGGTTTGCTGCCAGCCCTTGTGACTCCGTGGGGGACCTGGGCTGGAGCAGCCTGTTCCTGAAGGACTGCACCCCGTGGAAGGGACGCACGCTGGAGCAGTTTGTGAAGAACTGTGGCCTGTGGGAAGGACACATGTTGGAGAATTTTGTGGAGGACTGTCTCCCGTGGGAGGGTCCCCATGCTGGAGCAGGGGAAGAGTGTGAGGAGTCCTCCCCCTGAGGAGGAAGGAGCAGCAGAGACAACGTGTGATGAACTGACTGCAACCCCCATTCCCCATCCCCCTATGCTGCTGTGAAGTTGAGCCTGAGAAGAAGAGAGGGGTGGGGGATTTTAAGATTTGGTTTTATTTTCTCATTACCCTACTTTGGTTTTGTTTGGTAATAAATTAATTTCCCCAAGTTGAGTCTGTTTTGCCCGTGATGGTAAGGGGTGAGTGATCTTTCCCTGTCCTTATCTCAACACGTGAGCTTTTTTTTATATTTTTCTCTCCCCTGTCCAGTTGAGGAGGGGAGTGCTAGAGCGGCTTGGTGAGCACCTGGCGTCCAGCCAAGGTTAACCCACCACAAGAATACAAACAATACCTGAGAATTTCTGCCGGGCTAAAAGGTCTGAATCTTCAAGGTTCAGGAAAAGCTGTTAATAGAGAACACATAATGTGGTTTGCTTGTTCTCCTGCTGCAGGCTGAAGATGGAGAAAGGAGCAAACCATGCATATGAGCTGGTCTCTTCCTTAGCCCAAGGCTTCCTCTTACTGAACGTTTTGCAGTTAGGTAAATATAGGCCTACTAATGTTGGACATATGCACACATATAATTCCTTTTAATATATGTAGTCTTGATAGTTCTGTCAGTTTTTCTATTTTATATCTAACATAGAGTTGTGTTTCTGAAGTTTCTGTGCATTTCTGGGAATATGCTGTTTCTTTTCCATACTACAAGAAGTTATTTACAGGTGAAGAGGGTGTGCCAAAGCTGAAACAAGAGTGGAAAGAGAAGTGGGTTGAGACCTGGTGAGGAGACGGGGGCAAATAGTCTTTGCTGTTGTAAAAAGTAGAGAACTACTACTTTGAGCTGTCTGTATTTGCAAATGGGGAGGATGGAGAGCTGTAAGGTACTAAAATAACCTTGTGTAAGGGCAAAGTAATTCAAAATTAAGCAAGTTATTTCACTTTGGAAAAAACAAAGTTAAATTGTAACTTTGCAAAGATCAAAGCTTTTCATTCTGGTTTGGAAACCAGCTTAGAGTGCTGATAGATCAAGCACTCTGCCTCCCCTTCCCCTGAGACAGCAAAAAGCAGGCCCACAAGTAAGATAGAGGATAATGCTGTAGCTGCATGGCCTAGTGTCTGTCCTGTTAAGGCTTAATGTGTTTAATGAGTTTCGTCTAGCACGGTTTGGTGTTTTTGTATTAGCTCCTCTTTGATTTACTTTTTTTAGAACAACCACACTTCAACTCTCTTAAAATCTTTGTCAGTGACTTTTAAAAAAAAAAATTGGCAACCATGTAAAAGAAGTTCAGTTATTTCAATAATATATGTTATTTTCCTTCCCCTTTTGCCACAGAGTTGTTCTGTGACTCTCTAGAATAGAGGAGGTTCAGCAGGTTCTAACACTTTGAATCCTACACAGAAGTTGCCATTCCTGGTGTCTTCTGCTGCGTCAGGTCTGTAGAACAGCTGCTGGTATCACAACTATAATGTGAAGCTAGGTAGCATAGAAAGGATGAATCAAAAACGCTTCTTTAAAACTATCTTAGGTTAGCTAGAGAATAGTAAGACTCGGAGCAATACCTTGTTTTGGGTAAAAGGAGAATAAATTATTGATTTTATTTAAGTTTCTCCTAATCTAGGAAGAATATAGTTGATAAAAGCCTGTAAAGCTTTGGGCTAGGTGACGACTACAAACACTCAGTTAATTTTCCAAATGTTTCCTAAGCTCTCTGGCCAGTTTATCTTATTCTCCTGTCTTAGCCGCAGAAGAATATAGTTGTCCTTTATTACGTGGGAGGGGAAAATGGAAATGTTTGACATTTTTAAAGTTTTATTTATTTCCTATGAAAGCAAATCTTTGGAAATGTAAGCTGTTTCTCACAAAAAAAAAAAAAAGGTAGGAAAACTAGCCACTTAGAAATGAAAACAGAAGATTTCTGTTGCTGTGAAGCATGAGAATGTCAGGTTTTCAACTTCACACTCTTATTCGGGATGGGAAAAGGAGGGAAGCAGTTTTCCATACAATTATATTGTGCAGTCTTCCCAGGAGAAGATGATCTTTCTTCTCCTAGCCGTTCTTTCAGTTTGCCTCCCTGAGCTCTTTTCCCGAGGGAGGAAAATTTGCACGTGTGTGTCTGTGGTGCTCTTGTTTTTGTTTTAGCTTTGAAGCAACCCTCTGTCTGTGCTGTGGAGCTCAGTTACATGGTGTGTGACTTCTCAAAGCAGAGCACTACCTGGGGTTCTAGTAGTTCCCTAAAGCTGCGTATCGTGGTCTGTGTCACCTTCTGACTGATCTTGTTTTCTGTCAAAGGGAATTAAAGTTGACTGTGGCTTCTACTGAAGCTTTGGCCTCTGTTTTAAATGTTGACTATTAAAATGTCATTATTGTAACCTTCAGCAAGGCATTTAGCTAAATTTCCTTGTGAACATTGCAACAACGGCTTTTCACTTAATTCTACTCCAAGTTGTTTGCAAGGATGGGTGTTTGTGTCTTTGAGTTTAGTTTCCTTTCTTGCTTTTCAGTGCATTTGATGTATACTTTTTTAATCAGTCTATTTACGACAGCGTAGGGACACTACAGGAAGCACACCATACTTTGAAAATATAATACTGATAATAAAAAAGCCATGAAGTTCATAATACGTTTTTACAGTATAGTAGCTTGGACAAATGGAGCTTGAATCTTTGTTGCTTACGAAGTCTTCAAGTATTTTTTCTGAAAGCTTTGGATACCTCAAGTATGAACCTATAAGTTTTTGCAATAAGTTTTTTGCAAGGTAAGTGTAAGAGAAGAGGCTTGTCATGTGCATGTATAATTTCCTACAGGCTGTAAAAATGGAGGGAGAAATTTTAAACATCTCCTTTTTCTTTTGGCTTTAGGAAGGATTTTGGAAGCTTGCCAATTTGTTTAAAGAACAGCCTGCTCAAATAATGTTGGTTTTGTCTGCTATATAAGCATGCATTTCATCTTCATCTGGATGGTCCAAATCTAGAAACAGATTTTCTCCCTGTCAGCTGGTATTCATATCTGATAGTAAATAAGTACTCTAAGTGGCATCCTATGCTAATGTCTGTAAACTTACAAGTTACCTTACTTTGTAAAAACAATTCCTTACTGATGCTTGAGAAATGAAAAATGTCTGTTCTTAAACTGTGATTAGATATTCTATGTAGGAAAGAAGGAGGAGGGTCAGTGTAGCTTCCTTGGGTGTCTCAGATCACATATAAAGGAAAGAAAATCTAAGCCTAAATTAATAATGGAGAAGAAAGTAGAATTTTCATACTTTTCCTTATGAAGACTTTCAGAAAGTATGAGTCACACTATTAAACCTTCTATGAACCTACTATTTTAAGAGACTATTTTCTCTAACATAGTCTTGACATTTTTACAGGCCTTTGGTAGTCTCAAGCCCTTCGTTTTTGTAGGTGAGTATATGGTATGTTTGGATCAGAACATTAACATCCATTTGTGGTAGTTCTTCACATTTAGTCACTATATCAACCCATAAGAATTTAACAGCTATATAGTGATATTTCCTGTGACAGCAGATGTTTTTGGACCTTTACAGATCATGAGCCAAGTTGAGGGACAACAGAAGAATCTTGTACAAGCCATTGAAGCTCTCCCAAGTTCTGGGCCCCTTTCTGCCTTGGATCAGGACTTGCTGCTTTTAAAAGCTACCTCTGCTGCCACCCTGAGCTGCCTTGGAGAATGCCTGACTCTATTACAGCAAAGCATGCATCAAGTGGGACAGCATCATAACAGGACACTGTCATCAGGTGAGCACAAGCTCTCTTGGGTGTTATTTTATGTGCCTTGGGGTTTTTTATTATGATACTGAAGGAGGCAAAATTAACCGTTCCTCAGAGAGGCAAGTTGGGGTGAGCAGCTTGTAAGCTTCTACAGCCTCAAGTATCATATTTTTGTTCTTTGCCTAACAAAAGATGCAAAATCTATTGAAATCAGAAGAGAGGAGGAAAAGAGGTTGTCCTAAGACTTCTCAGGCAAATCAGGTTCTGAAGACAGCATGACAAACAAAAAGAGGCATGGAGAACAGGTAGATGACAGTACAGAACCTGCTTGGTTGTTTCGTTTTGCCCTTTTTTTTTTTTTTTTTTTTTTTTTTTTTTTTTTTTTTTTTAAATTGAAATCACCATACCGATTTGTTTGATAAAAATACATGTAATATTACGCAATGCTACAGTGAAAATCATATTTCTAGTTTTCTACATGGAAGGATGCTGCTGGAGCAGATCTGTTCCAGTCTGTTTTTTTCTTTAAATCTGGAAAGAGTTCTCCATGCTGCTATTTAAAAAAAAAAAAAAAAATCTGTGGCAAATTTTTATAAGCCTAAAATGTCACACAGCGTGATTCTGCATTGAGTTCTGCAGGCATGAACCTCTCGGTCCCCATGTAGCTCAATTTTTTTCAGTTCACCCAGTTCTACATCTCTCTCCGTAAAGTCAGAGGTTGGACCTTTAGCTTTCTGAAAAGGTAGTCAGTGTTTTTCCATACACAAACTGCACTGCTTAGTCTAAGAGCAGGAGCAGGACTTAATATAAGAGAAGAAACAGCAGCAGAACTCTGGATATGGGACAACTTTTTATGTTTTCTTGAGGTGCTTCAACAACATCCCCCCCCAACCTGTCCTTACTTTGCAGCAGGTTTACTACAGGGCAGGATATGCCCTCAGGGCTGCTGAGACAGCTAGGTAGGAAGCCCTCTGAAGAATTCCCATTGTGGGGAGAATAGAAATGTGAGAGGGTCAGCTGAGAAGTAGGCAAATGAAGCAAAAAGGGTTCTTGGAAAAAAACAGTGTAAAAACTTTTGACACCTATACTATGGTATATTATGACTTTTCCGCATCCAGATTCTGATATATTTCAGAAAGGAACATAAATAAACAAAACATTTTCTTATTTTCTGTACTCTGGTTTTCTTGTAGAAAATGCAAAAAAAACCTTTGCACATATCTAAATAGTAATGATAAAGTGCATTTAATTGAATTCTTTGATATAATTTCATTTCAAAAGAGAATGGTTTGGAACAAAGATGAAAAGCATCCTTCAAAGAAAAGTCACTTTCTACTTTCAAAGTCCCCGAAGGTTGTTTTTCATGTCCATGTGATCTAAGTGAACTGTCAGAGATAGATGACTTGAGTTGTACATGTCCTTGAATCTGTGTCCAAATAATCTTCTGTTAAATCAGTGTCTGTATTTTGACTTGATAATAATTTTTGAGGATCTGTGTACAAGAACAGAGAAAAACAAGCATATCATTAGTAGTTGCTGAAAGGAAATCCCCTGTTTTTTGGAAAAAAGTGGAAAGCCACGACTATAAAGTACATAATAAAATTTAATAAGTGTTTTTGTTTGTTCCTCCTAAGACGTTAAACTTGTACAAGAATCCTTTCAAGAATCAAAATTCTGTAGCACTGGCTCACCCCAGCATCTTTGGTGTAACTGTGAGAACCTGAATTCAAACAGTTAATTCTTCAGTGTGTCTGTGTGCTTATTATTTGGTATGTAATTTAAATTAAAAAAAAGGAACTAAAAGCTGCTGAAATATTTAGTCTCTTCTCCCTGACCGAAAGAGTCTGTGAAACGATTTATTTTTTTTTTCTCCTTTTCCCCCAGCCTTGTTATTCAACATAGTTACTTGAAAGAACCTGGCCTACAAGTCTTGATTACTGATTTTCCTACACACTTAATCTTGTCCGGGCGTACTTTGATAGACTTAACATTTCTGATGAGTTGGTAGAGTTTCAGAGTCATCAAAGCTGCATAAACTCATGCTTAATCAGACTAGTGCCTTTAAGTAATCCTCTAGCAAACTCTGGTTCTGAGAGATGATATATTTCATTTTGATTCTGTGTCCTCCAGGTGAATTTTTTTAATTTCATACCCAGAAGGTGCAACCAAAAGATGGCCTTTACTGTTACCTGTTGATACTGTCAGGTGAAAATGACTCTTATTAGTTTAAAAGCCATATGTTCCTCTGATAGGAAGTCATGAATGCCTTTCCCACGAGATGTGATGGCCCTGTGCAACTTATTGCCAAATGTTTTCATTCCAGTGTTCTCATTACCTGCTGCATAGTGTCCAAGATGCTAGTGGGCATTGTGGGGCAGGATCCACAGAATTTTGTAGAGAGAGACAAGATAGGAATTCCATAAATTGTTTTCTTGCTTCTAGCCTACAGTTCATGAAAGCAGTCCAGTCCAGCAAAGCAGCACAGTCCTGCTCATGTGGAGTGTGAGAAATAATCAATGGCTTGGCTTTGGTGATTTGAACTTACCCTTGAGTTCACCTTCCTTCACCATCAAAAGCTCTCACTATTACGCCATAAAGAGAGAGAACTGCCTGAAAAGTAGATATATATCTACTTTCTCTGCTTTCGCTGTACCTTTGCTCTGCTTGTGTCCTTGAAGTCTTTATGGCCGATTACGCAAGGATTGCTGACTTCTCTGTGCACCATAAGCCTTGCAATCTTACTGCTTCCAAAGCAAGGACTTAAAGTAGCTGAGAGTTTCTGACTTAGTAATTACGGAATGCACTCATGAAGATTATAATTAAATAGTATCTATTTTAAACAGATTCCCAGACTTTTATTGTTTTAAACAGAAAAAAATGTCTCCTTTTGATGTAAAATATTTTTATTGCTTTGTTTTCCAGTAATGTGAGTAGAAAGAAAGCAGCTTGGCATTCAGTTTAGTGGAAACTTATCCAGAATCTAAGATTGTGTAGGTCTTGACTTTAAATATTTTTATGGCATCCTTTGTCATTGAATAGTTTGAGGATGACATGATTTTTCCTCTTCATTTTCATGTTTCTCACAAGCTGTCAGTCTTAGACCTCAAGTCTACAAGCAGACATGAAGATTAAACTGAAGTCTTCAATCTTGTCTTGAAGGGTAGTCAATACATGTTTTATTTCCACTCTAAAGCTTCAAGGAAGGGTTTTTGTGATTGTCTTTTTTGTTAGTGCTCGACTTTGGAAGTGCATCAACAAGAACAGTCAAGGAAGCAAAATCCTGTCTGTGTTTGTCCTTTCGAGTCAAAATAATGTCAAATAATGTCGAATTCATTTCTAGCTGTCGTTATTAAAGGTATGTGCATTGATGACTGGCTAAATGCTTTGTAACTTTTTTCTTTTATTGAAAAATATGCTGGAAGTGTTGGTTACATATAGTGTGAGTTGAGGATGAGGGATTGCATCTATACAAGCTTCTTTGGGTTTGGGAATTCTGTTCTTTTTGTAGGAGGGAGAAAAATGTCAAGGATTTTCTTATTGGCTAAGAATGTCACCACTTAGGTACATGTAAAGTATTTGCTAGTCAGCATTTAGTGCCTTGTGACAAGCTTGAGTTCATTTAGCATGCAAACAGGAAACAGATGCCTTTAAAATAAAAATGTGGAGAAGAAACTTTTGTCTTCACTTCAAACATTACAACTTTTAGTGTTATTTTTTCTGCCTTTGTAGCCTTTGGCAGAAGAGTATCTCTAGAGCCTATTGACTGCTATGGTTAACATCATTCCCTCCCAAACTGTGAACAGAGCAAACTTCAGTGTTTGTTTTAAAGTAGCTTTACCAGCTTATGTTGCGTTTTAAGTCTGCTTTTTTATTTTAGTGTTTTGGCAGACAGAATCCTGTCTTGCAGTAGCAGCCTGCACAGATAAATCCATTCTTTTAGTCTGTGTTTCACATTAGCCATTCATTTACTGAATAAAGCATCTCCCTGATAGGAGTTCCCTCCTGTATTTTTCTGTTTCTCACTTGCCCACTTTTCGAAAGTGTAAAATAGAATGTTTCTTTTTTCTGAGGATTTTTTAAAAACAAACTCCAAACCCTTCCTCACTATGGATTTTCTGAAGTTCATTTGAATGTGCAAATGCTGCTTATTTTGCCTCCCATGGCAGCAAATGGATTGAAGATGATTCTGGAGTGGGGGGTGTGTGTACTCGAACTTTATTTTAGCAGGTTCTCTGTTTCCTCCTTTTTGGAGAGAATAAATGGGACAGGAAAGACAAAATCTAGATGCTTTCAATTTGGTGACAAATGACAACTAGGGATTCTCCTGCAGCTGAGATGGCAGGAGGAGAGAAAAATGAGCAGAGTCGTCCTCTTTCTTGCTTAACCCCTCCCCACCCCTCCGACCCCCAAATGCTTGTGGGATGGGGAAGGGTGAGGAAAGATGACAGGGGAGAATGTATTCTTTGTTACTGGTGTAATTTACTAAATTTGGCATGGTCAGTCAGGTCTCCCTTAAATGCATCATCGCTAGACTTGTTTCTGTTGAGAATAACCAAAGCAATTTGCTGTTCTATCTAAATACTAATACATTACTCCTCATATGTTCTTCTTTCTTTGGAAGATAACGTTATTTTCTAGTCCCCACACAGCATTAGCAAATACGTTGTCTTTCTAATCTGAAAAGCTGACGTGCAGCTGCCACTTGTTGTTGCTGTTTCAGCCTGCTGTAGGATTCAGTGGAGAGACAAAACTGTCGCATCCACCCCTGGCAGGGGAAGGAGTCCAGATCTAATCTTGGTCTCTCCTTGAGGCCTACCGTTGCATTGTTAAGGGGGTATTTGTTGAAGTATAGTTACAGTATGTTGTGAGAGTTCTGTCAATAGATGTTAGCTTACAATTGTGCCGGGAAAAAACATAAGGTTTTTTTTTAGTCTATAAACCAAGACCAAAGGCCTTAAAAATAGAAAGGTTTTCATTATAGAATTGAGGTAGGTGTTAAGCATATTTCATGCATCCATCATCATGCAAAAATGTAGTTTGAAGGTACATCAGGTATCCAGAGAGTCAGAACCAACTAAAGAAAATTATCAGCATTGCTTAACTGAAAAATCTCCTGTAAACTGCCTCTTTGGGGAGAGTTTCCCTCCCTCCTGCTGTGTGTACCTATGAAAGGGAAACACGTTTCTCCTGAGGGCATTTGTGTGGGTTACAGCCTATTGTGCCATCTGAAATAGATGGGGTTTTGTGAACTATAGCATTGCTATAGGGAAAGGAGAGTAGGCTGTGTCTGGATGCTGTACTTCCCTTATGTAGAAGTGTTCTTGTGTGCCTTGGTGGGTTTGTCTGCTGCATGTTCATCACAGTGGAAATTGGTGTGGAGGATAAGCAGGAAAGAAGCTCATTTTGGGGTATTTTCTATAAGAACTCTCATTTTGTCTGTACATATGCACTGAACTTTCAGAGGAATCAGGCTAGGGTTTTCAATACTGGAACCACAGAACCAACACCGTGCAGGTAGAAGAGATCTGGCTGATTTTACTAGTAGTGTATTTGGTACATCCTTTCTAATTTTTGCATAGTTTACTGCAGAAACAGATGTTTTGTTTTAATTAGTATAGTGCTTTGCATAGTCTTAAAGGAAATAGTAAAGTAGCTGTGTAGCTGTGAATGCTTTTATATAATTTGTGACTGCCTTTCTGGAGAATTTCTTTAGAATTATGAAATGTATCAAAATAAGACTTCAATTTACCTTTCTGTCAGCTGTCTTTGGCTATGACTGAGAACAGAGCAAAAATCTGGCTTAAAAACAAAACAGTGACAGCAATTTCTTCTTATTCTTATCCAACTCTGAAGATAAACTTTCTTTCTCCTAATATATTTAGTTTTTATGTCCTTTTTTTTTCTTCTTGAAGTCTTTAAAAGAACAGGAATTGAACTAGTGATAGAAAATTTTGAGCGTCATAAAGTGGCAAAGATGGCAACTCCTGAAAAGTAGGCTGCTATATTAGATATATGGCAACTCCCTTGGGATGATATGAGAATGCTGACGTCTGAGTAAGATTTGTAGATTAAAGATCATCAAAGGTTCCCTGATGGCACTTTGAAACTAGGCATGGAATTTTTTCAACTTGTTCAGAGAGCTGACTTTTTATTTATTTAGGTGTCTGTGGCATATGACTAATATCTTTTACTGCATATGTTTCTTTTGTTAAGTAGTCAAGTTCCAGGCAGACAGAATTTAACAGAACGATTTTTCTCATATGCAGAGGTGTTGAGGAAACAGATGTGCTTTATCCTTTGGACCTTAACTCTTGGCATCCTATTGGTGTTGGCTGGGTCATAATGTGTTGTTAAGATCTATTTAAAAATTGATTAGGCTGACAAGATTTGCTGCTTTGTGAGGGTAGCATTGCCCTTGGGACAGGTGGAAAAACATGCTCGCGTAGTTCTAAGTTTCTGTAAGAGAGTCTCTAAAATGTGTGGAGGAAGATGAAGTAAATAGTCTTTTTACAGTGAGTTTGTACTAAAGAGGAAAACTAGTATAGTGTTTTTAAAAATATGTAAGTGATGGTGAAGTAAATGTTCACACTTAAAAACTTCCCCTGAAGCAAGGTATTTATTCAAGTGGGAGCTTTTTCTTGTGCTTATTTACAGAAATTAGATTTAAAAAAAAAATTAATTAAAAAAAAGTTGTTTACAGTGAAGGCTGAATAGATTGTGTGTGCAGAGAGAAAATGGATAGCCCAAGGAAATGATCAGATGACTTATTTTCAAAGATTGGCATAAAGGGAAATCAGTTCAATTTTTTTTTTTTTTTAGTCTCTCTGTAACAGGAAAATAGCATCAATAATCCAATATTCAGCTGTTTGACAGGGAGAAACAGAAAAATAGATGGAGATTTGTTACTGCAAAGTAATGAAGAGCGAGAAGTATAGGCATGCTCCATAAGACTCTTTGTGGCTATTCAAAAGTGAAACAAGTTTATTTTAACTTTTTGATTTTTTTTTTCCTCTTTAGAATCTGTACTAATTAACATCAAAAAGAGTAAACATTTTTTAACTGTTTACAGACGTGTGAATTCCCTCCAAGGAACCAACATTTTAATCTGAAATGTTCCAATTTAGTTTTATTGTTCATGCTGATGGTATGCTTGCTTCCTTCCTTCCATGCAGTGAGACTCCATTTTGAATCTGCCAAAACAATCTTCAGGTTATCCTCTGAATCAGACCTTGTTTTGAGGGATCTGGGGTTATCTTTGGTTCCTGGCAGCAAATTGCTCAAGACCTGAGGAGCAAGCAGAGGCACTATGACTACAGTCACTGTGCTCTTCATTCCTTGCCCTGTTACACCAACACCCTGTTTTAACTCCATCTTTGGAATGGGGGCAGATGTTAGCCTCCTGATGCGTAGGACCAATGTGTAGAGCCAGTCCAAGAAAATGACCTTTTGTCTGGTACTTGCATTTTCTCTCACATGGTTCAAGTAACTTGACTATGACTTGTAACATCTACTAGTGTAGTTCTCAAAGTCACTGAAACCCAAAAAGCTTTGCAGTATGTGACCTGACAGCAGAGCCACAGAGATGCTCTTACTTTGGCAATGAGAAATTTGAGTCATTGTGTGAAATATACATTAAGGAAAAAAAAAAAAAAAAGCTGGATTTTTTTTTTTTCTTCACTGTTGGTTACTCAGATCTTTGAAAATAATTTTATACTTAACTGTTTGCTTATGCTTTCTTCGGCAAAAGATGGTGCCACAAAATCACGCTAAGCAAGTGGACCTGAAGTTTTGTCATGTTGTCGTAACTTAGTGCCATTTTAGATAAGAGGAATGTTCGGTAATTATTTTATCTTTAGAATTTGGTAAGAGGTCAGCTATAGGATTTGTGGCCCATTTTTTAATAGTATAAGTGTTAATACAACATTACCTCATCCGATCAAACCATTTACTTTAATTAAGAGGCAGCCTCTAGTAACCCCTGCTGATAGGGAGAGGAAAAATTGCATGTTCTTTAATGTACTTTGTGTGGATTTGTGTAATCTTAAAAAGTTGTCGGTGATGAGAGATAGAGATCCTCCCTGTGGCACTAATTGTATTTTCATATACAAATGATGTTAATGACTGAAGAGCTGCGATTTACTTATCCATATCTCTGCATTTTATAGCAGCGTGTAATTAATAGCTGAAATTTAAGCCTTATGCTGAGGGCTACTGATTTGAATGTTGATACTATGTTTTAGAGCAGTAAGGGAGGAAAAACTGTGCAGTTGCCTTAGCTGATTGCTCTTTCTGTCTTGGCATCCTTAAATACTGGCCCATCCTGGAAATCAGGTGCCCCCAGAAATAAGGGTTGTTCTGATGTCTAGTTCCATTTGATTCATATTTAATGTGTATCTTTCTAACGAGACCTCTTCTAAACTGTGGTCTTGGGACCAGTAAAGCATTTTAACACTTAATCTAGAAAGAGGTTTTAATAGTACAGACAGAAATAAAATACAGCTGCTAAAGCTTAAAACTCTGATTTCAGGCAGGAGAGATGGAGGGTTTACTTGGATAACTTTGTAACTGTGAAGACAGTGGATAGAGAATAGTTGCTTAATTACCAAGGTGTGCCAGATTGTATAATCTTTATGTACGATTCTATCTGGTGGTAGGAGTGACATTTAAAAAGCTTACTTCATTGACTTTTTAAAAAAAAATATTTATCACAGATAAATTGGTATAGAAGATGCTAGAGTATTTTTGTTACTAAAGTAAGACTGTGGATGGAAGCAGAGAAGAGATAGGAGTTCATTTATATTAGTAGAATGGTGAGATGAATGGAAGAAATCTGTAATCTTTCTCTTGTAAGTTGACACCCATTTTCTGCTTCAGAAGGTATCCTGGGATGGCCTGGGCCCAAGTCACACTCCACAGACCAACTGAAAAATGGTGCACTCAGCTCCTTATCGTCTGCTAGTGCCAACATTACATGGGCAATAGTACCATCTGCAGCCCAGGATGGACAGGCATTGCAACCGAATACAGAGGTAAGCATGCTAGGTCTCTGTCGGCCATTTCTATTGTCTCTGAGACTTGACAGTGGTTAGATGCAAACCATGTACAATGGTGGGTGCTTTTATTAATTACTTATTGTACTTTTTTCTTTATAGTATCCTCTTTGTTTCAAATTAGTTGTGAAAATGCTAGGTTTCATGCAAAAGTGCACTCTAAAAATAGAAAAATACGTTGACGATATTCCTGTGTGCTCTTGCTTCTCTGAGGTACTTTGGACAGTGGACTATGGCAAGCATACAGTCTCTTTTCTAGTCGTAAAAGCAGTTAACAGACTGTCAGTACACATTTCTATCTTCTGGTGGCAGAAAAAGCTGTTTGTTTTTTATGCTGGTTTGAGATAGACAGGAGACACTAGGACCACAACATTTGCTTGCTACTTCCATGTTGCTGTTTGCTCTTGGGTGTCTCTTGAGTATAGCTGACTATTCTTTGGGCTGAAAAACTATATTGTTTTCTGACCCCTTTTCCTGTTAAGTGCTTACGGGCAGAACTTGTCCGCATCATCCTGCACCAGCCTGTTGATTTGTGCTTTTGTGGCATTTACTTGGTAAAGGGCAGTTCTGAAGCATCGACTCTTTGAGGAGGCTCACAGCTGCGTATCAGGCATCTCATGCGCTGAAAGTCTCTCACCATGCCAAACATCTCCAGCTTCTACTGTCTGCTTCGGTTACCAGTGCTGCCCACCAGGAAAACACTTCACTCTGAGGCCCCACAGATTGTAGGGCACCTGGAGCACGTGAGACCTGGAGAACTGGGAAGAAGTTTTTGAGAGAGCTGAAGAAACTCTTTTCTACTAATGAATGCTCTTTGGCAATTGGAATGGCTTAAATTAAATTATATCACCTTTAACAAAATGTGTAATCGCTGGGGACATCAATAAAGCTGTTTGTTTTTCCAGTTCTTTTGTAGTATCTTGAATTGAATATAGTTCAAAAAATCCAAGGGTAAACCAATTTTTTTTTTTTTTTTAATATTATGTGTTACTTTGGTCCTTTTCCAGATCAGTCCTTAGAAAGTAATTTCAAATTCTGTTACTCCTAGCGTCCGTTAACCACAATGTTTAAATTACCCGTAATTGCTTTTTATTAGGAAGCTGTGTAATTTCTTTTTCGGATAAGCCAACTGAAGTTCTTATAGTGTGTTTTTAAGACCAAGAGGCTATTTAAGAATATTGGTTTGGGAGTTACTCCTTTACTCACTGCTACACTGCAATTTGTTTCATTATTTTCATAATTTGTTTTTTCAGATGTTTTTATTCTTGACCACCTGGTAAAGCCAAATGGGATGTGGAAGTATGGGCTTTGCAGCAAGAACATAAAGAGCAGCACCTGACTTGACTTATCTCAGGGTATCATTTTGCAGTTGAGTTGAGCCATTTATGACTTGTTTTAAATTACAGGTTTTTTTAAAGTCCAATCTCCTCCCCTTTGCTTGCTGATGAGAGATCCTGAGTTGCGCGTGTGGCTTGAGGCACTGCTTTGCTTGTGTAACTCATGATTTATTGAGAAGGGAGTACCCTTGAAGAGATGGACATAAACAAGGGAGCATAGCAGTGTTTGTAGTACAGAATCCTCAGTGCTTTGTGGACAGTCTTCCTGAAATCAGCAGCCTGCATTTGGAGGTGCTGGGGCACTAGCCCTTAAAAAAGAAGAAAAAGGGGAAGAAAAAGTAAGATTTTTAAGTTATAAAAAGCTCAGCTGAAGACTGGGTTTTCAGCAGAAGCAGTAAGTGGAAGTTTGTGGATTGGTGGAACAACAAGAAGCAGCTGGACTCCTGTGTGTAATTTTTGTTATGGTGGTACAGTTTATTAAGCAGAAATTTGGGGTTGCCCTGACAAAGTAGCCTGAATCAGGATTCATTCCTGGAAGCTCTTTCCAAACCTGCGTCTTCCCTTCCACTGAGCCCTTGTGTGCTTCAAGTTGTCTGAGATTGAGACTGTTGGCTCACAATTTGAAGTGCTCTTTTAAATGTAGCTGTTACGTTTTTCAGTTTTGATCATTTTGATCAAGATATCAGTGCCCCCTTGGAAGGCTGAAGCACAAAACCCAAATTGTGGAAGAGGTGAACAGTTGCATCTAACATAAGTTGGAGCTTTTGTGTTTTCATACTCATCTTCAGATCAAGCAAGTTGTCACGCCCTGCTACAGGGGCTTCACCTCTTGGCTGCTGTGGTCAGATCCTTTTCTGGGAGAGGAGGTGAAGTTTTCCCGGAGTGCTGCAGGTTCTGCCCAGCTGTCTAAGCTGAGCGAAGCGTTGGACAGGAAGCTGGAGCTTCTTGTTGTGACTGGAGAAAGGAGGGTGAGAGGACAGGCTTTGAAGAAGAGAAAAATCTTTCAGGCAATGTAACTGTTACCCTGCTAAGGATGTTGTCTGAGCCAGGTAGTTGCCCAGGAGATGATGTCTGACACCCCCCAAAGTTATCAAAGGTGTTTGACTTAACACACTTTAACAATTCTGTGGGCAGGATTTAAGTATATTTTTAAATACATTCTGGCCTGTTGTGTGTCCAAGGCAGGAGCCTAGGTTTGGCACTGAATAGCCAGTTCATTTTCAAAGGTATAAAAGCACTGACTGGGCTAATTACTTTGTATGTGTAATTATATATAAAAGCAACTGCAAATCATCACACTCTACTTGTTTCATAGTCTAGATACATTGTTGTTGTTAACAACGGTGGTGGCATCAGCAGAGAATGAGAAAATGCATCTAGATGTCATTGTCTGACAAATTTTTGACATTGAAGACCCTGATTTCTTTATTTATCTAGTAGCTTCTTTTAGATGTAGAAGAAAAGAGGAATCCACAAGTGTCATTCAAATGCAACTTATTTCTCTTAATGATTTTCTTTAAAAAAAAAAAACCCAAACTAGGCACTGGATGATCCTCATTTCTGAAGAAGTTGGTAGTGTACTAATGGGGCTTAGCTTTTAAAATACACCTGCCAAAAGAAGTGAGCCTTGCTTTTACAGAAGTTATGAAAAGAGAGTGCTGGTTCCTCTATCAGTGCTATCAAAATTAATTCCAATTTCTTCTTTGACTGGGCCTACATTTTTATTTTAAAAAATCTGTACTTTCTATGATATAACCTCTATCTGTTAGTCAGAAGCTATACCCCAGAGGAATGGGAGAGAGCTTTTTGGCTAATGCTCAGCATAATACAGTATATGTACCGTCCAAACAAATTGTGAATTGACCTGTAGTCTGAAATCGAAAAAACCATTAAATTACTACCCTTGAGGAACAACCAACTCAGCTGCTTATATTATAGAATGTTATTTATAAGGAAAATATAATTTTAGGTACGTGGCTCAGCAGTGATTTTAAAAAGAAGAGAGATGTTTGGTATGTTGCGGAGGGGGGCATGACTGCTGAGGAATCTCTCCCGTGTAGCAGGCTGCCAGTGGCCGCAGTTTCCTGGCAACATGACCAAGTGGATGAATGTGTTCAGTGATAGCTGTGTTAATTCTCAGCACAGCATGCAGACACTTTGCAGTAGCGATTTCAGCAACATCATTAACAAAGCAATGACTGCCGTGTTTTTTGTACGTTCATGAAGACGCATGGATCTTTAGCATTCTCCTCTGGAATAACAAGGCTCATCTGATGCAATTTTCTTTGAATGCTTAAGCATTCTTGAGGGATATAGTAAGTTCTGGAGTTGAGTTTTGATGCCGTAGATAACTAAAGTAAACCCTTTCTTCTTGGTCTGTCGCACTGTCGGGTTTCAGGAATGCAGAGTTTCTCCCCTGGTGAAATAATGTAGCAGCTAAAGATTCTTCTCTTGAGATAATGTGTTGGTGTTTACTTGCTTTTGTTATTTAGGGTGTTTCTTGCTTCCAAATGCAGGGATATCATTTGAGATATTGCTTAAACTAGTTCAGAAAATACAAGATTTTGTGGCAGAGATTATTTTCTTGTGTATTCCTCACCTATTTTAGCATGTCCTTTCTTGATGTTGCTGTTTTGTCTTCCTAGATGAGTTTTCTTTTAGGGTTGTGATGTAGGACAGCATGAAGCTAAAGCCTGTGATCTTCACTGAAAGAAGTAACCCCTGACAGTGAAATGCCGGATCAAGCACCTTTGTCTTTTCTTTTTCATACTTTTTTTTTTTTTTCTTCTCGGTATAAGCCTCCAAGTTTTAGTTACGTTTCCTTTCTCAGATTTTTTTGGTCTGTTCACCTGAAACATCAGGTGGAAGCAGGGATAAGGGTTGAGCTGAACAGAACTATTCTCCGTCTGATGTGAGTTGATGTAAAATACTTTTGTGCATCCCCTAGTGAACTACTTTGGACTTTTTGGTGTAAGCTATGTTATAACTTCAAGGTATTAATTAGGGTTTTTCCCTTAAAGCAGAACAGGACAAACCTGGTATGGAATATGCCAGAGTACCCTCTTCAGAGCTGTGATGTGAACTTGGTCTGTGTCCAGTCTGCAGTAAACAGGACCCTGCTTCCTTCATTTAAGTGTTTATAATTTTGAAATTCCTTTCAAGAAATGCTGAAATCGATTAGTTTTAAAATAGTGAGTCTCACAGTAAATTCAGTTGTAATAAACTTGGTGCCTAAGTAGAATAAAGGTGTGAATCACTTCCATGTGTGAGCCACTATTTCAGTTCAACTAATTGTCATTTTGGGTGTCAGAATTCCCCTCCTAAGGTGACAAAAATGTAACTGCAGGCCAAATGCTTCCCCTGGCAGCCAAATACAAATGGGAAACAGGCTGTTCTTAGTGGGACCTGGGAGGGAACGAATCGTTTTCTTTTGATCTAACAGTTTAGTTAAGAATTATTACAAAAATCATGCTGTAGCTACATCTGCGATTTAGCTCTCTTTATGTGATTTTTATGCCTTAAAATGCCATGCCAGCTGATTCTTTCCATCCTGTGGATCTGGTGTCTGTGCAGTCTCTCTACTTTCCTGTCCTTAACTATCCCTTGCTTGTGTGCATGAGAAGCTGTACACATGCTCCATAT